GTTTGAACCTATATTTTGCAATAAGAGCAGACTTGGTTTCGAAAGAATTTTAGCTCAGTGTACAACAACATCACGTTTTTACTCTGACCAAACTGCCTGACCGCTTGAAAAAATATAGATTGCATTTCTGCATTGCCTTTGCTGAAAGGCGGTTTACTCGTAGAACTCAACACGATACAGGATACATAAACCTGCTAAAGGGAGGGAGGAACCCCACGCAGTTTACCGATTCCAGTCTAAAAGATATGAAGCACGCACGCACAGTTTCCCTGAAACTTTTTTTGGACCAACTAAGTGTTATTCAGGCGGATAGAATAGAAAGGAGTTAAGTTCAACAGAAAGCAGCTCAATCATATCAGATTTGCTGACGACGTTGTGCTGATTGCGGAAACTACTATTGAATGCAAGAAATTTTGCTAGACGCCTGCAAGGTCAGAGTAAAAATAATCGATCAAAGCTACAGCACGTGTGATCATACATCCGGATGAAAACCCAAATAATAGTTACTTTAGAGCTTGAAGAATAATTGCAAAGTTACGTCTGTGTGGACGAGGAAATGTTATTTCATTAGGAACTGAAGAAAAGCAACTTTGGGGTGCGTTCAGTTGCATCACGAACATTTTATATACGAAGACCAGTAGTGTAACAAGGGGCCTATCTCTTCAATTCAACCGCATTGTCAGCAACGGTGTACGGGACATGGTCAATAACAAGGTGGATGAGCCATCACCTGTCTGCTACTATGAGATCTATGGAAAAAGGTAGTCGAGGATCATATTACCAGTGCAATAATCAGACAGCAAACCTTATTGAATGATAGAATGCTGGATCAGCAAAATTGGCTATAGAAGCATGGTTCGACTCACTGAATACCCGCGGAGTGATACCCGTGGCATCATGAAAGATCGACTGGTTGCTGTCGAAGAGAATCAGAAGATTTCATCTCTAGAAGACAAGTGATCGTGGTAAGGTATGGCCGATAGAGAGATACTATCGATGGGCGATTTCATTTTCACGTCAACTTAAACTAAGAGAGTAAATACTACCTCTAGTGCAAGTTTTGTATTCAGTCTACAAGATAATCCAAAGTACATATCGTGCACAGTATGTCCATTATCCAGTCTACAAGATAATCCAAAGTACTTATCGTGCACAGTATGTCCATCTTTTAATCCAAGGAAGAAGAATTAGACTGCGCAAGCATTGTCAAGAAAATCCCCCCCTCTTCGCTCTGGTGCAACAAAGTTTCTTGTCACTCCCGATTTAGCAACATTACAAATTGATGAAAATCAATGACTGAATTTACCTTGAGCCAAGTCCAGGAGGCCAAAAGCTTCAGCTGCCATTTTCTGATTAATTGCTCAGTGGCAAACGACTTTATAGACGGACTGTTAGTTATCCAAAGCGCGACAATTCCGTTTGTTTTCAGTAGACTAGCGACCGGTAAGGAAGCCCATATCTCGAAATTTCTTACTGTATCATAGCTTAAAAATGAAAAAGCATTTGCTAAATGTTCGCTGCGCCGCGATCGTAAAACATTAAAAAATTTACAAAAGAAACTGAAAGGGAAATAGTGATATCGAAAAGCAGCTATCACATTTGAAAACTTGGGAATCGAGTTTGTGCGTTGGTATTCAGAAATAATTTTGCCTAAAAAGTGCGTTCGTCAAACGTGTTTATGTGCTAATTCAAAGAATCGAAATAAGGGGATTTTAATGTTAATTGTTCTTTCAGCCGATAGCCATGAAGTGAAAGAACTTATTTCTAGAGAACTTATTATCTCAAACAATAGCACTGAATTTGTATGAATTTCAGAAGGTACATAAAAGTAAAACGAAACAATGTTTAATTCCATATTATGAACTGTATCTAATATAATTTTTAATAAAGATTAACCCAGGTTTATAAGTTTATACGGTTATACAATCTTTATAGTAACCTGTTAGTTTTCGATACCTCTGGCAAGAATGGCAATCTCCTGTCACTGCAGATTCGTATAGCATAGTCGTTTTTGTTCGATCGACAAAGTGGCGCGGTTTTGCGCCCTTGCACTGCTATTATGAAGCTGCAGCTTGCTTAAACGGTCCCATATGCTACTAGAAGCAGTGGCATGGTGCAACTATGCCGTCAAATCCCGGGGTGGAGGAGGGGTAACAGGAGATCTAATAAAATGTTACTTCCAATGTTTAAATACTTTTCACAGCTGCAAATAAAAGCTCCAAACAAGTTAGAAACATTAAACTTTCCAATTCTACGGTTGGAGACACCAAAATAAATGTAGCAACATAGATTTACAAACAAACAGTTTTGAACCACAGTAACCTTCTCTGTCACCAGGAGTAAACGATGGGTTCATTTAAAGTTTCAGTTTAAAATTACTACCCACGTTTACCATCACTTTATCATAACAGTGCCCGAAATCACTTCTCGTATGCATGCCATACAAAATGGACAGAACTCTTAACATCCTAAGCAGAAAACTTAAAAATCGGTTTATTCATATACAGCGCAAGAAAACTGGTTAATGGTGAACTGTGAGATGGATCTGGCACTGCACGTTGCAAGCATTCAAATACCATGTAGCCGTGGCCTGCTTAAATGACCCCCCCCCATCCCTCCAGAGGCAACTAGGAAAGAGTTGAGCATCTGCGGGTCGACATAAATGGGTTGTATTGTACGTATACGAAGTGTCAACATGGATTATTCTTAATCAAAAACCGTAAAAATAAGGCTTTTTCATAGACAACGCAAGCAAATTGTTTGATTTAACCAGTACCGACGTTTTGGCTCGTATTTCATGGGCCTTCATCGTGAACAAAGTTGATTTTCGTTTTTTTAAGTTCGTTCTGTGGTCCGTAGCTTTTCTAATGCTTTTTGCTTGCTATTCATCCCAAATTAATATTTAATCGTTTATTAATTTGTGCTAAAAAAGAAACCGTTGTGGATTCGAAAAAAATTTTCAGAAATACATATCTAATTTTTTCCAGCCTTCCAACTGTTCCTTTCTTTATGTATTATCATTAAAAGCCTGCTTATATCTTTTCCAACTGAATAACCAGCATGTGGTAGCCTTTAGATTGCGGAGGTAGCGAGCACAAACTAACCTTGCTGTTTACATAATTATTTCTGGAAGCTCATTCTCATTAATTAGTGACAGAATAAAGTTTCTTACTTGCGGTATCAGTTCTTTCTCATAGAATCAGGATTGACCTCTAAAGTAAATATGAAACATTCTCTTAATTTGGCTGAGCTATTAAAAAATTCTGTCTCAGGATATATAAGAAGCAAATTACGCTTACAACAGCAAAAGAAAAAAGTATTTTGTGTTACTTTAATGACATTAGTGGTTACATTTAAAAAAACGCCCAAGATCAAAGACCTTCGTGGTAATTGATTTTTTATTAGCATAAATGGGCTCTGGTGATTGAGGGTGATGGAAGACAAATGATTACTAAGGGCCTCTCTCAACAAATCGTAATGCATAGCTTATTCGAGTAAATAACGAAAAAATAACATTCACTGTTACAACCCAACCCTTCTGTTAGTACTTTTAGCCGGAAGTGATGTAAGCGAAATACCACCAGGTCGATAAGACAAGATAGTTCCTTTTTTGCAAGCTTTAACACTTAGCTATGTGTGCTTTATTAAAATTTAACAGTTTAGTCTGTTAGGGAGAGTTTGAACTCAACGCAAATCTCCATCTGGTAGATCTCGTGTATAGCGTCGATAATAGCTAGCCCCTCAATCAGGGCATTAGGGAGAGAGAAATGTTGTAAAGTGAATTTTTCTTAATTTTACAATTACCATGAAGTTTTTCACCATCCTCATGGTAGACTGACCAGACGAAAGTAACAGAAAAAATTTGGAGGAAGTTATACCCGTGATCTAGAGGAATTCGTGCCTAACAAGGCAGAGACG